TTTTAAAAATTAACAGAGAAATACTCGTGCCTGACTAATATTACCCGGGCTTACTAGAAACGCGCGCGAAAACTGCACTGTATTGAGGTCACTAGGTAATTCGCGTTTGCACGAAACGTGCGATTTTACATTTACGACCTTATTAGGCATTTTTCCTATGTCTTTACCTTGTTTCTCCTCCGCGTATGAGTTAACGATAAAATTATTGCCGGTAGCATTTGTGATAAAATTTACCGATCGCGATGCTGAAAAATATCGCAAGAACGTGCTAAGATTGCATGCGCTAACATTAGTCAGACAATTTTAAGGAGATCGAAAAATTTATTTATATATTATATACAGAAATATATTGAAATTAATGCATGGGCATTTGAAAATGTATTAAAATTTTCTTTACTCTCTCTTTCATAATTATGTCATCATTTATATCTACTTCCATATATTTCCGAGGATTTTTACTCAACGTTACATAAAAATCATATTTTCAGAGCTCGCTAAATTGATCTTTATCTTATTGTTAGCTATAAAAACGCGATGATAAAAATATGTAGTTCCGTTTTAAAAAATACCAATGAAATCTCGAAGAATATAAGCATGAGTAAATTTTTTTGCTTATTATAATATTTGTTTCTTCGAAAGAAATAACATTTTCCTTTAACATACTTGTATTTCGTCGAAGACAAATAAGAGGAGACAAATAAGGTGCGTAGATTAGGTGGACCCTGTCTATGTGTGTGTGTGTGTGTGTGTGTGTGTATTTCTAATTGTTTTTATTATATTAAGACGATAATATTTACTTGTTACACATGGAGCAGAAAGGCATCCATTATCGGGGCTACGTGGTGGATTTTGATGGGCTTGAAAATCTCTCAAATGTGATTTTAACTTCACCATTCCATTAGCTACTGTTTTGCTAAGTGTCTGTCATTTCATTTCTGCCATTTTCATTTTGCTTAATATAAATGATCGAGATGACCGACCACATTGCTTAATGTCCTATTAATTTTGGCAACAGATCTTCATTGCTTTTTACATGTGCAGTTTCTAAAAATGATCTGTTCATCAGACTGCCTGTTACATTAATGTAAATCTATAACTTTTTAGGACAACTTGTACTTTAAGAAATATTATCTGTCATGTAATCTCTCTGGAAGCTCCGGGTAAATTTTGTACTGCCTCCTTAAAACTTTCAAATATATTTTGGACGATTTTAGTACTTTTGCGTGTAGAACAACGAAAGAAATCGATTTACGCAAAAAAGATATGTGGTTTTATACAAAAGTGCAAATTAATTGTGCTGCTAAAAACTATTTCTCTTTTCGGTATGATTTTAACGATCAATGTTGAATGCATAATTGATTGTATAATTTTTACCCAGTCCCATAAATACTATCTGTTTTTTTTCAAGTACCGAATCCTTTTTATTATATCTTG